AGTAAAAGTCATCCTTTCTACACGATAATCAAGGCAAAAATGAAGCAACTACTCTGTACTATAGCATCCTCCAGAGGACCTACATCACTCAAGGGCCTGATTCATACACTAAGCTAGAATGTGCTTGATTTGGTGTTTTTTGTGTGTGTTATTGCTACATGCTCAATAAAATCTACACTAGTTTTAAAAATTATTGACTAGCATTAGATGTGTTTTCAATCGGTATTTTCATCACTTAACACAGCCACATTCAAAATTTATAATGGATGGTTGTGGGGAAAAAGACTTCTTGATCATTATGCAGAATGCTATTAACAAAGGTAGGATAGTTTTCTGCAATTTGGTGCAATCTAAAGCAACGGACTGCAACTTCCATCATTCTGAGCCAGCCAGTCCCCATGGAAGAAAAGGGACCGGCAACAGATCAGACAGACATACTCTTGCATATTTCACCGTCTTTGAGTTTTATGGCTATCAAAACATTAATTTGGAAAGATAATAGTTGTGTATGGAAAATTGATAAACAGCTCCCTTGCCAGATAGCTACATGCTTATTACCTAGTTAGTGTCTTGTATATGAACACTTTCAAAGATGTGACATGCCACCATATGAAGTTGTGTTCCAAGTCTAAAAAATTAGCCTTCCTAGCTCTATATCTTCTACAAGAGCGGCCCCCAACCCTTTGGGCACCAGGGACTGGTTCCGTGGAGAGAAGTTGTTCCGTGGACCAGAGGGGATGTGATTTTGTGTACTGCCTGCATCCCACAGATAGGGCTTTGCTTGTTTGCGCGGCTGGTTTCTGGCATGCTGTAGACCAGTGCTGGTCCATGGACCGGGGGTTGGGAACCCCTGTTCTACAAGAATTGATGTTGTGTAAGAAGTTCAGCCAAAAATCATTTCTAAATTAGCTGTGCCACTGGCTAATTTGTGCTCAGAAATGAAGCCATCTAATGGCAATACGTACTGAAGAGGTGCCACACAAGACGTACTGCTGCTGCTGGGAAGAAAAGGGGTGTTTGGGGGGGGTGTCATGTTAAAAAAAATACATGGCACAAATTCCCATCCTCATGCACATACAAAGAGATGGGGGTTCAGTCATGGTCATGCCTGCCTCTTTGATTTTGTTCCTTACTTCCTAAGGATGCCTCCAAGGAGTGTGATCTCTATTCCCTGATATTTTTTTCTCTCCCTGTTTAGTTTAGAATTGGAAGAATTGAAGAATTTTACCCCTTAATCCTATATTCCTAAGAGAGTTTCTTCAGAGTAATGGAACATGGGCCAAATGGTTATAAATACCCCAAGGGTATAGGTATAGTCTAGGCGAAACCTGGCTTAATGCCAGTTGTTGCAAGAGGGATCTTGGAGTCCTAATAGACAATCACTTAAATATGAGCCAACAGCGTATAGCAGCATAGAAAAGGGCCAATGCAATCCTAGAATGCATTAATAGAAGGATAGAATCAACATCATGTGAAGTTCTAGTACTGCTCTATAAAGCCTTAGTAAGACCACACTTTTCTGGTTACCACAATACAAAAAAGATGTTGAGACTCTGAAAAGAGTGCAGAGACGAACAACAAAGATGATTAGAGGGCTGGAGGCTAAAACGTTCAAAGAACGTTTACAGGAATTGGGTAGGTCTAGTCCAGGGGTAGGCAACCTTAGCTCTTTTATGACTCGTGGACTTCAACTCCCAGGAATTCTGGGAGTCATAAAAGAAACAAGGTTGCCTACCCCTGGTCTAGTCTAATGAAAAGAAGGACTGGGGGGGACGTGATAGCACTGTTCCAATATTTGAGGATCTCCTACAAAGATGAGGGGGTCAAACTATTTTCCAAAGTAGCAAGAGGCAAGACAAGAATAAATGGTTAGAAACTAACCAAGGAGAGAAGTGACCTAGAACTAAGGAGAAACTTCCTAACAGTGAGAGCAATTAACTAATAGAGTAGTTTGCCTTCAGAAGTTGTGGGTGCCCCATCACTGATGGCTTTCAAAAAGAGACTGGACAACCATTTGCCTGAAATAATATAGGATCTCCTGCTCAAGCAGGGGTTTGGACTGGAAGACCTCTGAGGTCCCTCCCAACTCTATATTCTATGTTCTAAGTGCCACCATAATTGAAGTCATTTCAAGTCTATCCATTCAGCAATATCTTTTTGGGACCACTGCTGCTCAGAGATTGGATGCTCCTCCAGAGAGCTGCCTCAGGAGCACATTAGAAAAGGGAGTAGCAAAGCTCTTGAGGGTATCCACTCCATGGTTTGCTTTGAAGGACCTCTCTTAAGAACGAAGCAGTCAGTCATTCTGACAACCAGTGTCAGGGAGAAAACCAGCCAGCAATGGAGTGGATTTGATGGAGATGGCTCTGCCATATTTGACACCAGGTTTCTTCATGAGAGACCCAGACTTATTGATGAAGGACTGCACTCTGAAAACTGGATAATCCAGTGAGATATAGAAACCACTATTAAGTAAAATGACAAAACTTGAGAAAGGAAATCAGACTGATTTGCAGGCAATAAAAGTAGTCCTTAGAAGTGTTCTTTTAGTGACTGTTCAAAGTTACAACAGCACTGAAAAAAAGCGACTTATGACCATTTTTCACACGACAACCACAATGAGGAGAAAGCCACAATGGTCACCCGTATGAACATTGTAGCATTCCCATTCTCACATGAGCAGAATTCAGATGCTTGGCAACTGGTTCATATTTGTGATGGCTGCAGGATCCTGGGTGTGTGTGTGTGTCACGTGATCCCCTTTTGCAACCTTCTGACAAGCAAAGTCAATGGGGAAGCCACATTCGCTTAACAACCATGTTGCTAAGTTAACAACTGCAATGATTCATTTAACAACTGTGGCAAGAAAGGTCATAAAATGGGGCAAAACCCACTTAACAAATGTCTCACTTAGCAACATAAATTTAGGGATCAATTGTGGTTGTAAGTGGAGGACTACCTGAAGTATTAATGCCTACAATGTTTTACTTGGATGGATTTTAAGGAAATAAAAAAGAGGTTAGCTATATAAGCTGACGTGACTCAGATAATTGATTCGAATCAAATCCTGCAAGAAGGGCCACTCCCTGTCAGACAAACCCCCCCCCCCACCTAGGAGATTTAATCCTCTCCATCTCTTTTCCCTTATTGGCCCAAAACTGGGATGACATGTAAACTACGTTTTCCAGGAAAGAACTGGAAATGAATGAAAAATTCAACAAAGGATAACAACTGTGTAGAGAAAAAAGGTGCCCTGGGCTTTATTTCTTATAGGAAACACATGAAGGGTGAATGACAGATTGCATCCTGAAATTACCTTGGTTCACAAAGTGCAGAATTGTTTTTTACTACTCTAGGTTAACGAATTGATAGTCTGTACACATCTTTGTTCATAACCAAAATTCTACTATCTTCTCCAAGACCATATTCCCAACTGTAGACTTAAATTACTTTAATCTATGTTTTGGATAAGAACTCTGCATTTTTGCAAAGAAACTACAAGTAAGTCCATGAAATTTCTGGAGTTGAATTTCTTTTACATCTGCTTTGGCATCGCACTAGACTTTTGATAAAATCCAGTTATATGCATCTCGGTCTAGCCCCTGAATGAACATTTTAAAATTCATATGTTCTTTATTTTATCACTGGAGATTTAGAAATAGCCAAAAATTTTTTTAAAAAAAACAACCTTTGATTCATTTATTGACTTTTCATCTACTGCTGATAGGTGTGATTTTGCTTGTGGTATCTGATTTTATAGCACAGAAGTTGCCATCATCTTAAAATCATTACAGTATGTCAGCATACATGCCAGAGAGGTTTATAATAGCAAACTGAAGGTAGTGATTATTAAACTGATTTCCTTAACAGCAGAAACTTCTGTATAGATTTGCTAGATCAGTGATGGCAAACCTTTTTGAGACTGAGTGCCCCAAAACTGCCTCGCCCCCGGCCCGGCCCCACCTCTCCTGCCCTCAGGGCCACCCACCGCTTCCACGGCCCGCCACAGCAGATCACCCAGGCAGCCCAGCAGCGTTGTGGTGGCCATGCTCTCTGTCTGCGCCCCACAGCATCATCTGCATGCGATGGGGCACGAGGGCGGAGTCTTGTCCTCACTGCCCGGCTGCCATGTCCTTGGCTGCACTGCTCTGCGCAGGCTGCGCCCGGGGCGACTCTCCTCCGGGGAAGCTGTTGGTAAAGAGGGGGCCACGGGGGTGGCGGGGGTGGGTCACAGCATGCGTGTATGCGTGCCCACAGAGAGGACTCTGAGTGCTGCCTTTGGCACACGTGCCATAGGTTCGCCACCACTGTGCTAGATCATTCCATTTGGTGTCTGGGTGTCAATTCCTGGTTTAAATGCTCCTTCTATCAGAGGAAGAGCACATAGCACGTAGGAAAATACATAAAGAAATACACTTGGTTAGATCTGTCTCCCTGATAAGTTTCTTTTTTAATTTAGTTAGGAAGGAACTTAACATGGCAAACATATATAATACTTCTTCCTCCTCCTATTATCCACACAACAACAACCCTCTGAGGTAGATTGGGTTGAGAGTGACTGGTCCAAGTAATCCAACTGGCTTGTATGCTTAAAGCTGGACTAGAACCTACATTCTTCTGGTTTCTAGGCCAGCACCTTCACTCCCACACGAAACTGACTCTAACGTTTCCCAGTCAACTCCCGGAATAAAGCTGCAGGAAGAAATGTACATATCACAGCCCACTGTTTGTGAAGTGACTAACTAAAAGTGAGCAACTCAACCCTACTCAGAATGGGACAACTCGCCACACAGCCCAGCCACCGTGGCCAATTCACCACAGTCAACTTGCGGCGGAACAATTTGCCACAGGACAACTGGCTGTGGGACAACTCAACAATTCAGTTTAATTATTTGAAATAGTTAAAAAAATATTTTAATTTTTGTCACTCACATTTCACTTTGTCCCTCCTTTGGCACCCTTTCTTTAATGATTCTATTCCACTATTTCCTCAATATTAGTGTAACTCTGGCCCCGCAGCGAGTCGTCCCCAGTGAGCTGGCCATGGCGGATTGTCCTGTGGCTAGCTGGCTGTGGTGAGTTGTGTTAGACCAGTGGTTCTCAACCTTTTTAATGCCGCGACCCCAACCGGTCGTAAGTCAAGGACTAAACCGGTCATAAGTCGAGGACTAAACCAGTCGTAAGTCGAGGACTACCCAACCAGTCGTAAGTCGAGGACCTTCCCTGCCCGGGAGCGCCGCGCATGTGTAGTTCCGCCCCCTGCGCCGGCCGAGGCTGGCAAGCGGCAGAGACGGAGCAAGCCGACCACCAGCTGGCCCAGCCCAAGGGAGGTAAGGCACCCACCGGAAAAGGGGGAAAAAAATGGCGGACAAAAAAAATGGCGGACAGCCTTGCTTGGCGACCCCCGTGAAATGGTCGATCGACCCCAAATGGGGTCCCGACCCACAGGTTGAGAACCACTGTGTTAGACCCATCCTACTATGAGAGAGCATGCAGCTTTCTAGGGTACAAAGGTTAAATGTTTATGGTTACTGAAGTGTGCACTATACTGTTGGCCCTACAAAAATGCCTGGAAATGTCTCAGGTAAGCCAAGTGGACTTACCAGTTCACAATCTGTATAATATCAAGAAGTGAGAAGGAGGATTTACTTGGGAATGGTGAGCTTTCCTCAATGAGTCATGCCTGAGGAACAGAGAGCATCCAGATCCACATTCTCCTTCCAATATGCTCCTTAGTTTGATGTTCTCCTCCCCTCTTTCCCCACCCCCATACGGAATTAACATGATGGTCCTGGAACGAATTTCCTTTGATGTTTGCACCAATTGAGAAACCAGGTGAGGAGGAGAAAAAGGGAGTGGAGGCCCAAATGAAAGGATTTTTTTAAAATGTGTCTGCTGCCAAGAAATTGCACCTGTAGTCTGACTTCAAACATAACCTTCCTTTCCCCTCCATACGTTAAGAGTTTGGCTTCCCAGCTGAAAGAGTTCTAAGATTCATCATCAGGCAAATTTGCTGGTTTGGACACATCAGATGCCATTTCCTATAAAATTACAGCATTTTTAATAGCATGACCCAGCTGTCATTGTGTTGATTTTTTTTTTTTTTAAAAGGCCTTGTTGCAGTTACCATAACAATCGCATAAGTCTAGAAAATGCAATAAATCACTCCTAAGGATGGTCTTTTAACAGTTGTTTGGGAAGCATTTAGTGAGGGTTGCTGTTTATGCAAAAAGCAGAGCGGTGCCTGGCTGAATCATGAGCGTCTTTGAGCTATGGCTGAATGGCTGCATGCCTGTGATGCTATGGCTGCTACAAACCATTGGCGTGGAAATGCCCACAGACCTGGCTTCAGTAAAAGCGAGGAACTCCTATTTCTGGTGACTTTGTGGGTATGGGCATGTAATTTTCAGGGAGTAATAGGGAACTGGTTAGCATTGCCTTTTTCTCAGGCTTCCCCCCCCCCCCCCGCCTCCAGTTTAGACAACAACCTAGAGGTTTCCTAGTGGCCTCCCATCCAACAGTAACTATGACCGAACCTATTTAACTGTTTCGGATCAGCCAGGCTAGGTGCCAATCCAGCTAGGGCAGGGGTAGGCAACCTTGGCTCTTGTATGACTCGTGGACTTCAACTCCCAGAATTCCTGAGCCAGCATGGCTGGCTCAGGAATTCTGGGAGTTGAAGTCCACGAGTCATAAAAGAGCCAAGGTTGCCTACCCCTGAGCTAAGGAGTCCCCAGTGCCGGCCATTTCTGCCCAATCTACTCCCACCGGGAGGTTTTCGGAGCGGAATTGGGAGGCAAGGCCTCGGCTGTTCGCACCGATTTGGGAGAGGCGTCGTGGGCGCCTCCAGAGCCAAAAGGCTGCACGGCACAGACTAGTGCAGGGGTAGGCAACCTTGGCTCTTTTATGACTCGTGGACTTCAACTCCCAGAATTCCTGAGCCAGCATGGCTCAGCTTGGAAACCTCCCTTTTCCCTCAGCGTGGCTGGCTCAGGAATTCTGGGAGTTGAAGTCCAGGAGTCATAAAAGAGCCAAGGTTGCCTACCCCTGGACTAGTGGATCCGAGTCACCCTCAGTCAACTCCGAGCCTGAGTCAGCCGGCCGGGCGCGGACGGCGGGGTCGGAGCGCGCCTCCGAAGAACGCCAAAGCAGGTGCCCAGCGGCGTCCACTGATTTCGCTCCGCGCAGGATCCGCTCAGCCGAGTTTGCCCGGCAGCCTCGCTCGGCGTGCAAGCGCTTGGCCTGCCCCGGGGCTTTCGGGTTCACGCGGACCTGCTGGGCTCCGGAGCAATTCTGGGCATCCCTGGGAGAGGCCGCCTTGGATTCCCACGCCTTGCATGGGAAGTGGGTGGGTGGGTGGGTGTGAGAGAGAGAGGGGGGGGGGCGCAGATTTGGACCGAGGACATTCTCCCCCCCCCTCCTCGCCTTGAACTCCTCCCGGCTCCGACAGGATCTGAAGAGTCCCGTTCCTTTGGGGGCCACTGAATCCTTGCGGGGGTCTCCGTTTTGATGAAGGCGGAGGAGGATTATTGGCAGGTTCTCGAGACGCCGAGGGCCGGCCATTCAATACAAATCCCTTCCACCCTGCGAAAGGAAGGGGCGGGGGTGGTGGTGGTGGTGGGAGGGGGGCTTGAGGGGGGAGAAAAAGGCATTCTAAGCAGGCTCGTGGGATTTTGAGAAAAGAAGAAGAAAAGAAGCGGTGGGTGGAAAGGCGATCTACCCGTCCGATCGCCCTGGACTGAGGCCGGTGGGGCTGAAGTGAAGGCAGGCAGGGCGGCCGCGAACGTGTAACGAAGGAACACCTTAGGGGCATCTTGAGAATGCGAGTGAAATTGAGCGGAAGATTGATGGGCCTTCTTTGGGAGGGGAGCGAGGAGGAAAGAATAGAGCATTCTTCTCTCCACTTCCTGTGAGGTTGGTTCTCGTTGCTTCCCCGAATCGAAACCGTTCCAGTGGCACTTCGGAGGGACTCCGTGCGCGCTTCTTCCAAGAGGATCTCTGTTCACAATTAACAGCTTTGTCGACGACATCCGCAACTTCCCCCCCCGCGGCCAAGTCTGAGGGATCCGGGAGAATTTTATCCTCCTCCACTTCCTTGCCGCGAAGAGAGAGTGCGGAAAAAGGGAAAGCTTTTATTTCCTGTAATGTTGTGGGTTGCGCAATCAAGAAAACCTCCCCTCCACCTCTCCCCCCCCCGAGCGTGCAGTTATATAGATCTTTCTTCACACACACACACACACACACACACACACACACACACACACACACACACACACACACACACACACACACACACACACATATGTTTTGCATAGTGAAATGTTAACAGCCAGCTTAGAAAGACGCGCCAGAATGGGACTTGTATTCACTTCGACTCCAGCCTCCTGCCCTGAAAAAATAATTTTAATGTAGGCTTTTCTGAACCAAAACTGATGACCTAGTACACTAGTCATCAAGAAGATTTGCACCCGACCCACAGTTTTCATATAAACAAGGGCAGAACACGGACAGCCCCCCCCCCCCCCCACACACCTCCTTTGCCCAGCATTGGTGGCCAAGAGTTTAACTGCGCGCCTTCGCAATTTGGCTGCGGAGTCTTTTAGATCCCGCGCTCCGAAGTCGAAGGAGAAAAGCCCGAGTGGTCTGCACACTTAGATAGCCTGCGAGAAAACTTTTCTTCTGCCCTCTACGGTTTGCTGGGGGATGTGTGTGTGTGTCAAAGTCTCAGTGAAGTGAACGGGACCCTTCCGATTAAAAATCCACTCCTAACGTCCCAAAGTTCATTCAGCCTAAGAACACAATTTATGACAGGCGGAGGGGGGGGAGGGGAGGGGAGGGAAGGGGTGGAAGTCTTCTTGTTGCCCTTGTCAACCACAACCAAGACCGAGAAACTTTCCGTGGTCTGCTCCAATTCATCTCGACGAGTTCGAGAGCCAGCTCCCAATCTAACCCTGCCCGAGCAAAAAGGACAAACAAACTCTGGAGCGGGGAGGGCAAAGTTTCTCTCTCTCTCTCTCTCTCTCTCTCTCTCTCTCTCTCTCTCTCTCTCTTACTCTTCGGCTTTTTTTTTTTTAATTTTTGTCTCTCTTTTAAACTCCTGGCTGTTTGCTCAAATCGGAGCGCCCAGCCAGCGCAATCCGTTAGGCGGCGTGCCCTCCTGGGCAGGAGGGAATCGGGAATCGGAACGGCTTCCTTCGACTTCACAGATTTATTCCCGGCAGAAGTCGCTCAAAGGCCCGCGATCCGTCGAAGGCAGACCGGACGCTGGGATTACTCCCGAGGAAACAGAGTAAAGATGGGATTGTCGGCGACCTCTTCGGATTTTCGACTAAGTGCCGCGTAGTTCAGGATCCGAATCGCGTGCCCTCGGGAAGTCAACCCGATTTAGCTCCGTTGAGTTGTGTTTTTTTTTTTAAACTCAAAAAAAAGAAAAAAGAAAGAAAGAAAAGAAAGCGAGAAGAAGTCGCTGAGAGCTCCTAAAGGTTTATTTCAACTAACGGAAGCTTAACCAACCTCAGTTTCATGTTGGGTCGAATTAAGAAAGAGGCCAAAAATAATCCGAATCTCAATCTGTCACAGGGGTAATTAATTTCCAGGGACAAAGACAGAAGGAAAACAACGCCCGTGTCCCTCTTTCTCCTTTCCCTTTTCCTATGCTATGAAAAATGACATTTCCCGAGGTTTAAGGGTTTTGGAGTGGTTAGATCCGACATTCCAGAGCATTTAGACTATGTACAACAAAGGGAAACAATTTTAAATAAAGTATTCTTTAATCTTAGAAAAGCTTTAGTTTCCTAATACTTGTGTATTTAATTTACAAACAATAAGCTTTCCACCCTTCGTTTTTAAAAACAATTCCAGGACTGCCAGTTACTCCAACAATGCACTTAAAACAAGAATGGGTGGCAATATTAACAAGCGGGGACCGATTTAACACATTTTTCATCTTCTTCTTTCGCAATATTTCGGGACTCCCTTCGACCTCCACACACCCAGCAGCGCGCATCCGGTTCGCACGCAAATAACATTTCTTTCGCAAGAATAATTGATGGCGTCCCATTTTAAGCAGCTCCTTCATGGATCATTAGTCCGAGGCTGACTTGCAAAGAGGGAATCGGGACCTCGGTTCGAATTCAGGCTCGCAGGAAATCCTTCAGTGCCTCAGATAACACCTGGCGTGTAAACGCGCTATTCAGAACAAAATCTCAAGCCTTTTAGCGCAGTATGCCGAAAATGCCTTGGAGTTTCCCTTCTGTAAGGGGAGGGGTAGAGTGGGGGCAGGACGCTTTTACACGACGTCGGTGCGTTTCTTATTCAGTGCTTTATTTGCTAACAGTAGACCCGATTGAGCCACGGGCCTTTTCCTGCACTTTTATGACACTTCTTCTCTTTCACTTCCAAATCCGTTTTATTTTATTTAACTGTCCCCACCTGTGAAGCGCCTCGCCTGTGATACTGGAGACAAATTGGCTGCCTCTCGCGCTTTAGCTTGACTTCACTTGACCCAAAAAACCAAGGTTTTATAGCATTTTAACGCGTCAATCCAGCCGCAGGGGCGACGAAAAGACCTGATACCCTTGTGACACTCGAGGACAGACCTGGTACCCTTGTGACACTAGAATAGCCGGATAAATCCGGTACCGAAGAAATGGCCTCTACAAACTTTCAGCCCGGCTTTTAGCAAAGTTAGCTGAGCTCGGGAGAACCGAACGGAACTTCTTGAGTGACGACTCAAGGCCAAGAGACCTTAGGTCTCTTTTAGCGGACCAGGTTTACTGTTTACTGGCCTCTACTGTATAAATATATATATATTTTTCAGCGGAAGAAACTCTCTTCTCTATTTGGGACGATGCACTTCTCTACAAAATGCGTGGGGAAAAAAAACCCTATCTCAATACCAGAAAATGCTGAATTAATTAAATTAATACAAAATGGGAATCAGAGGCAAAGGAAAAGGGGACCTTTTCCCAGATTCCAAAGCAACTGCCAGAATGTCGATAGGGAGGAGAAAATAATAATTTTGTCTGGCCTGCGACAAAAGAGAGATGAGGTAGAAGAGGAGGAAGAGGAGAAATGTGAGGTGAAATGTGAGACATTCAGGTTTGGGGACTGGGGAATTCAGGAGAATCGGGGAGGGGCAGATAAGATTCGGAAGCATCAAATCGCCTTCCCCCCCCCCACCATGTCGGGGCGGATCAGGCCCAGCTTATGCCTCTTGTCTGTGGGTTGGGGGGCCCAAACGAACGCCTCCTAAATTATCTGGGAGAATAGCCAGAGCTCCAAGAGGTGGGAGCAGAGCAGGCCTTACAGGGGAGACAAGAGGAAGAGAAGAACTACCGGGGGGGGGGGCTGTTGTGGAGACCAGGGTAGCGGGTGGTAGGGCTTCCTGGAGTGAAGGAAGGCTCAGGATCTCAGAGATCCTAGTCTCTTCCAGTCTAACCTTGACCTTAAAGAAGCTCCTACTGAACCTTTTTGAACCTGGCTACTCAGAAGTCGATGGGTGGATTCTACTTCTGAGCAGTCAGAGGGATATACAGACCTTAAGCTGTCCCCTCTGGCTGAGCAACTTAGAAACGTTTGTCTTCCTTCCTCCCTTTTTCCAGCAAGGAGGCGGGAACTCTGAGCCTACCAAATTCCAACCATCGAGTCTGTGAAAAAATGAGTGCTGGGGGGAGCGGGGGGGGGGGGGAAAGAAGGAAGTCTCCATAGGTGGTGCGGCCAAGACTATATGCGGCTCCAGAGGAAGCCTAACATACGGCGCTACTCTTGAGATGGGGCGAGGCTCCTCCAATTACATGGAAGACAAGGTCTAGCCCTGAAAATGTAAAGGTCCCAGCCGTCCCAATGAAAGGGATGCTTTGGAACCTCCGATATCAACACTAACTTCGTAACTAAGAAAACGGCCGTTTGCTAAAATACCCTAATTACTTCGACTTAGCCAAACATACTGGGCTAAGATAAAGATAACCACTGGGATCCAGATGCCTGGGAACACGGTCGTCGAGAGCCCCCGAGTTATTCCTAAGTCGCTGCAGCCTTAATGCCAAAGCAGGAACGAGCTCAGCGTGACTCTTTTGCTCACCATCGCGGGGGACTGTAAATTTCGGGCCAAAAGCGGTCCCGCGCGACAACCTAGGTTCAACCTAGGTTCAATATTTTGTGGGAACAACCGCCACGATGCGTGTGTGTGCGCGCGTGGGTGTGGGTGTGTGGACGCGCCTATATGCTAATAAAGGGCTAACGCAGGGCTCAGTCCTCGCTTCGCAAAGGAAGAGCGCTTCCCGGCCAGTTGACGGGGGGGGGGGTAAAGCCTCTTCTCACCCCGCTCCCATCCTACCCCGCCCTTGCACGGTTCATTTTGGCCACTGCACAGTTGTGCTTTCCCACGTGGCGCCATCCAGTCAAAGAAGCGGCTTTGCTCGCGGCCTCAAGACCGCCGCCTTCAACAGAACCTGGAGGAGCCAGGTCGACTTCAAGCAGGATCCCCGAATAAGCAGCAGCAGCAGCGGAGGAAAAGAGCGAAGGCGCCGGCACCGCAGCGCGGCCTCCACCGGCGAAGCCTCAATAGCCTCCTGGCCTCGCAGCTCCGTAACCTTTTCGCCTCCCCGGCTCTTTAACGGCTCATTAGCCAATAAGAATGGCTAATCGCCTCCCGCAGTCCTCCGCTCCCCGCCCTACGGGGGGAGACCCGGCTCGCCATTGGCTGCTTTTGATCAACACAAGGGGGGGCTAATTACCATGCGGCGGGCTGCTCTTATAGGCTCCGAAGGGTGCCAGTCAGGCGCGCCTGTTCTCCGCCCTCCTAAGCTCCAGCCTGGCCGGCAAAGGCGCCTCGGTGCGGCAGCCACTCGTCGGCTCGGAGCTGGGCGGCGAAGGGGCGAGCGATGCTGCGCGGCTGACCCGTGCCGGCCGGGCCCCCACGCACCATGCTCCCGGGGTTACCGCCCGCGGGCTGCTGCCTATGGGCCAGCTGCGCCTGATCGGCGGCCGTCTCCCCGATGCTCCCGGCCCCCCTGCCTCGTCGCCGCTGCTCCCGCCGGGGCGAAGGAGGTGGTGGCTGCTTCTCCTCTTCATCATGCTCGCCTTGTGGCTTTGCATGGTCTACTCTTGCGTCGCCGGATCGTGCGCCTCGGCCACGCCGGGGCTGGTGCTGCTGGGCTCTTCGCCCTCTGCTCGGAAGGCGCCCGGTCCGGAACTCGGCCAGCTGCTGCTACCACCATCCCGGACGGCCAAGATCCAGCTGAGAGCGGATCCGGAGAACGACGAAGACGAAGACGACGAAGAGTTGGGGGGCGGCAGCAACAACAACAACAACGGAGTGGCCCCGGATTCCCCCAGCTTCCTTTCCAGTTTCCTGAATGGCTCTGGGACGAAGCGGCTACCCCAGGCAGTGATAATCGGCGTGAAGAAGGGTGGGACTCGGGCGTTGCTCGAGTTCCTGCGGGTCCACCCGGACGTGCGGGCGGTGGGCGCCGAGCCTCACTTTTTTGACCGCAACTACGAGCGAGGACTCACCTGGTACAGGTATGCCCGACTTGGGAGATAGGGCGTCCCATCCCGCTTTCATTGAAATTAGCACCGTCGGTGGGGGGGGGGGGAAGAGTGAACCCTATCTAAAGACGGGGATCTCTTGCCGTTTTCGGCCCCATCGGCTTCCCCCTTGCTCCCGGACGTAGAATCGAGTTGGAGCTGCGGCGTGGAACCCCGAAGCGCGACGTGTCGATTAACTTTCTGCCTTAATAGCATAGAGCGGTCTGTTCTTTTTCCTTTGAAAAAGTCCGAGTTAAGAAAGCGCCTTCTCCTTTCCTTTCCCCGCGCTCCTCCCAGATAATTGCTACTAGCTTGGTCGCGAGAGTGCTTTTAGTGGCCAGGGGCTACTCTTTCAAAAAAAGGACCTTCCCTTCGCCCGTGAATTGCTCCATCCCTGCGCCTTCCTCTTAAATTAGCCCCCGAAAGGCCCCGTTACCCCGTGGAGTCTCGAATGAAAGTCTATGAACGCCGGCTCTTTTTTGCAATCTACTCTCCCTATTTTAACTCCGCTTTCCTGAGAGAGAAAGAGAGAGAGAAAGAGAAAGAGAGATGGTTTTAAACGCACCTAGGAGGAGGAGAAAATATTTGGAAGAGGTTGGTATCAGTTGGCAGGGAGGGGAGGAAATCAACTGCTTCCTCCTCTGAGCAGAAGTGTTCTTATCTGCGGAAGAAAGAAGGAAAGAAAAGAAAAAGGGAAAGGAAAAGGGAAAAAGAAAGACTCTAACGGAATCCCGAAGTCGCCCTTTGGGGTCCGTTTCTTAAACGAAGCGTCGCCAAAGGACTTGCCCGTTTGTGGTGCTGGGTAGCAATTAAGGGTCCCTCCTGTAACGCTCGAGATGGGAACTCGCAGGGCCCAGGACCATTCCCCAAGACGCGTCGAGGGAGCGGGATGGTGGTGGTGGCGGAGGGGGGGCGGCAGAAAATCCCCTCTCCCTTTTGCACATCGCGGACCAATGAAGAAGGTGGCAGATCAAAGCGGCGCTTCTCCCGCTTTTCTCCACCTCAAACGGCCCTAGGGCTGCTTCCCGGGGTGGAGGAGACAAACGCCTCCGGTGCGCAGTAAACTCTGCTGGGCGGAAGGAAGCACTGCAAGCTCTGGGGCTGCGCTTCGGCTTCCGCGCTCTTAGCTGGGGAATTCAGGCGGTCCTCCGTTATCCAGGCCCGAAGAAAGCTTAAGGCACCTTCAGGCCCGCCCCAAACCTTAACTTCGAAGGAGCCCCCCCCCGGCGTCCGCTCGAGGGTTTGCCGACCGAGACGCGTTTTAAAATCGGGAACTTCTCTAGTGGGGGGGGAGAGGAATGCCGTGAAATCGGGAATGAGGGAAATGTCCCTTATCTTTACTCCTCTGAATGTGACTTAAAGGCAACCGAACGAGAAATCGCTGCAGCGGACACGAGGTCGGGATCAGTTTCCAACCTACAAATCTCTGGCTCCAGCTGGTCTGCTTCCTGGCCCTTTTTTAAATCTTTGCTCCCTCGGTTCTTTCTCTTGCCTGGTTGGTTTACAGGTTGATCTGTGGCCCTTTCTCCTCGCCTTTTCACCTCTTTTTCAACTTCGTTTCCAAACCAAAGGCAACTTTATGAGAAGGAAAGGTTAGCATCCCAACCGCACATGAACAGATATTTAAATCTTCAGTTGTGTGTGATCCTGTGTTCCTTTGAGAGGAAAGGAGCTCGACCACCAAGTCGAAAATGGAGATGTGTGAATGATATAGGATAGGTGATGGGAGAGAAGAAGGGAGGTAGAAAGTTGGAAGCACTAACTAAAATGTACTTGGCAGTTTTGCTGAAAAAAGTTAAGCAAAACTTGTCTCTCATCTTCTGAGGCAAATAAGCTTTTTGAGCGTGGAAGCATAGGGGATGTGAACTGCAGTGCATCAAAAATCCATAGGCCTAAGACTATGGAGTATGTACAACAGGTTGCAGGAATATATAAAAGAAAGTAAATCATATTCTCTAAAAGTGGCTGGATTTATATGGTGGCTGTGATTTAAATAAAGTTTAATGCTTCAATTAAAAGTGGTTTAATTTTGTATTCCTTGACCTGTCCCTAAGATCTAATTTGTATTCCTCCTTATTTACACTCCCCACCACCACCACCCTTTGCACTTCTTTCAGAAAAAGTATGGAGAGAAAAATCAATTGAGAATTTTCTACTCTGTTTCATATTATGTGAACATCACCGAACTGATGGTTTTTTATCAACGTTTGGTTTGTATGTTTAATTTTTTGGGGATTAAAACATCTCAAAGGAAGTAGGAGCTTGGCTAAAAAAAAAATCTAGGAGCACTCACTGCTTTGAAAAGTTATGACAAATGGCACTAACTAATTGTTGCAGTAGACTTTCTTTATTGGAGGGTTTGTTTTTCAGTGTTTTACAGAGCCTGCTATCAAGAACATTTAAAAAGGAACAAAACTAAATCCTAAAAAAGAATTAAATTAAATTAAAAACCGAATTGCCAAATGCTCTCTTTGTTTCTGAGGATTTGTGATGGATTTATGGCTTATTTGATAAAATTGCTCAGACATTTTGGGGGGGTCCGTTTCCCCCCCCATAGATTTGTTCTGCTGCCGACTTTCCTGGCTCTGCCCTTTTGTCATATAGTACTTGGTGATTGTGTGAGTTTGTGTGGATGTCCTTAGTGGAGTCTGGGAGGCAGAGATCCCTGGCTTTCCCCAGATGGAAGAGACAAGTAAAGGAAGACAGTTTTTAAAAGATCCTCCTCAACCTGCCACTGATGAACAGAGCTGTCAGGAAGACAAGAAACGTTAGTTATTACTGCAAGATGAGCTAAGAAAAGTTTCCAAGTAATTTAGGAGTTTGGGGATGTGGATGAAAAAAAATGTGCCTTTACAGCTTTTCTCAGCACATTAACCCTAGGTTTTCTAACCATTGGGGATAAAATGAAACCTGAGCATTGCTTCCATTCTAATATGGCCTTGTAATCAGAAGTTTAGGTTTGGATATATTGTGTTGCTCAGATTATGTCATGAGAGAAGTGTCGAATGCCCAACCTGTAGCTGGGAAATATGGCCCGGGTTTGTTTTGCATATGGCTCAGGGTTTGCCTTCCAATAACAGGAAATTCATAGCAATGATTAAAACCCCCTTGAACTCAGGTTTCAAAGGTTTTCTAAAAATGTGCATTGTTCATTTTTATGTAACTCTTAACGTAGTCTATGAAATTGCAGCCAGATGAAAAACTACATTGGGAGGCATAACGGTTTTACTTAGAAAGGTGCCTTGGTGCCTTGTTGTATACTTTGGTTAAGAAAAAGATATGAACTGTGTTGATTAAGGAGATCTGATGGCAGACTAATTGTTGCGGAACTTGAAAAGATGGGAGTTGTTATTCAATATGGTGGACAAATAAAGCAAAATGGAATTAACTGAAAAAAGCTGCTGTACTAGGCTGGTAGTTTTACCATTGGCATTATAATACATGCGCATACAGTATATCTCACTTCCTCTCCCCTGCCAATATGTTGCTCATTATGCATTTCTATTCTCAGTCCAAGAGAATAATAGTGTTGCCATTTTCATATGAAAAATTGATGTTCTTTTTTTAAACTATTTTTTCTTATTGCTACCTTGTTCAAAGAGAGCATTCCATATTCTGAAAGCAGTAAGAGGTCTTGATATGCTTTATCCAAACTTAATTTTTATTAAATTATTGCTTGCTTGAAGAAAGTTATCCTAAACTTGTAACATGCTGAAATATATTGCAGGCGTTTATTTAATTGACCAGGAATATAACAGTTTCCTAATCAAGTACCAGTGAACAAACACTTTCTTACCTTATGTTATGCTTCTCCAAACAAGGTTAAGGTGAAATAATAAGTTTCTGGATGTGTAAGATCAGTTTCTTGAGTTAAGTAAGCCCATGAAAACTATTTAAAAACACAACAAACTGAGAAAGGTATTCTGAAGAAGGAAGTAAAAATAATAAAATAATAATGGGAAAAATAAGTGGTTATAAACTGACAAAAAAAGCTGCCTGCATAAAGACAAACTGCAAACAAGAATATTTTAATCCAGTATTTATCCACTTATCTGGCAATTTATGAGCAGCACAACTACATTCCTTTAGTTGTAATATAATTGGCTTTTTGAAGACTTTAAATACTCATGAAGTTGACTCCTGTTCGGAACTGTAGCACCAACATAACAACTGAAAACTGAAGCACTTCATTTCAATTATGTGCAATAATTGTTCATAGATAATTTTTATGAGCTCTTCAATTCCAGGGTTAAGACATTTTTTAATCAGTTAAACTTACAGTTCTACACAGACTTCATTTAGAGTAGCCTTCAGTTGAGGTCAGTAGAACAAACATCTGATTAGATATGTGTGTGAATGTGAAATTAGGCTATGATTTAGAAATGGAAGCTTTGGGATGAAATAGATACAGAGCAATCCAAAAGGGATAATGTTAATTGTCAGATTAATGATTTTGGCTATAAAACACTTAATTTAAATGTTGAGATAAATTCTGTGTGTACTCTCATATAAGGAACAGAGCTGATGGCATTTAAAGGGCAATCAATAGTTTAATTTACTGGTGTCAGTAATGCTTTCATAAAGTTTCCTTCCCCTTCAACAATCAAAGAATTGAAATAATCTTACAATGAAAACCCCATGCGTGTCTATTTTAAAAAGTCTACCAGCATGGTGTGGGATTTCTAAGTGAATATGAAGGTTTGCAGCCTTAAAATGCCATATTAAGGATGATTTTTTTTCTGTTTTCCTCTGCCCTGCCAATTCCACTTCAGAGTTGGCTATATTTCATGCAATATAGCAAGTTAATCATGGTAGAACCCTTGAAGTTATTAGTAACTATTGATTTATTTGGTGACTCTAAATGACTGATTTTTACTAGAGTAAGAGCAAACACTTTGTCTTTTATGTCTTTTAATGAATTACGTTTTAGCATTTAGACATGATTGTTCAAATGTAATATTAAGACATTGTAACCATGGTTTATCTAGGAAAGA